CGGCGGCGACGACGACGGCGGCGACGACGGCGGCGGCGGCGGCGGCGGCGACGGTGGTCACAGCGGCGAGGGCGGCTGCGACGACGCGAGGAGGAGGAGGAGGAGGGGAAGGGAGGGTGAGGAGACCAGGAGAAGAAGGAGGAGGAGGAGGACGAGGAGGAGGAGGAGGACGAGGAGGAGGAGGAGGAGGAGGAGGAGAAGGATTGCAGGGACGGGGCACTGAAGGAGTCCTGGACGGCCAGCCAGACGGCAGCAGGGGGCGGGGTAGTAAACGGTAGTGGGGGGGCTCGAGGAGTGATGGGACGGGGCGCTCAAGGGGTCCCAAGAGGCCCCGCCAGCGGCCACCGTGGGACCCCCAAAGGTGCGCGAGAGGTGCACGCTTCGTCACCCAGCGCTTGCTGCCCCCGTTTTGGCGAGCACCCCGGAGGCCAGCGGGAAGTGGCCCGGCATCTCCAAAGGCCGCGAGAAGGTGATCAAGGATGATGGGTCTTTTGTCCACCACCACCGCCACAATTTGGAGGGGGGAGGAGGTGGAGGATGAGGAGGGGAGGAGGAGGAGGAGGAGGAGGAGGAGGAGGAGGAGGAGGAGGAGGAAAGGACGAGGAGGAGGAGGAGGAGGAGGAGGACCCACTCCCCCTCCTACTCATGGTGGTGGCGGTGGAAAGCAAGCCCACCACAGGAGGCCACGCTCGCCGAGAACGGGGGCGCTGGGGGCTCCTTCTCCGTCGGCTCGATGCCGCCGCCGCTGGAGGCGCCGAGCTGCAACGCGACGTTTCCGCAGCTGGCCTTCGAGGCCTTCCGCCTCGAGCGTGCCCTCAGGCCGGGACGGGATCCGAGCAGCACCATCGCCGTCAACAAGAAGGCGCAGTTCCTGCCCCACGTCGACTCGGGGGTCGGCCCGGGGCGAGAACCCAGGGGTCTCGGAGGCCTGCAGGCCTCGGGGGGGGGCGAGCTGCGGGGTCGGGGCGAACCCAGGGGTCTCGTCGAGCCTTTCCAAATGGGTGCGCCAGCGGCCGCGCCTCGTCGCTGGAGTCGCTGGGGTTGTCGGAGGTGGCAGCTCCCTCGAAGGGGCGACTCGCGGCCAAGGGCTCCTCGGATGACGGCGCCTATTGCCCTCCACCTGTCCGCTCTGCTTCCTCCTCTAGCCGGGCATGTCCCTCTACAGGAGGAATATTCCAGAGTGGCCAAAACATAGAAAGGGAATGATGCTTCGTGCTGTCTTTAACTACTTTGGACCATTGTTGGCACATGGCTTATTGTTCTTCCAGAATCTGCCTGCCGGAGGACATGCCCGACCTAAACCTTGGTGCGCTTGCGCCACCTCTGACCTCCTGCAGCCAAGGCGCCAATGTGAGGACCGCTGGGCACTCCGACCTCCTTGGGCGGCGCGCAGAGGGGGGCAGGGGGAGGGGGGAAGGCTTCTTAGAAGGAGGCTGCTTCTTAGAATGCGCAGGCCTTGCATTTGTAGACAAGGCCCGCGCCTTCTAAGAAGCAGGGGTGCTTCTAAGAAGCCTTCCCCCCTCCCCTATACCCCCCTGTGCGTGCCGCCAACTCCTGCAGCCACGACGCTGAGGCGAGGACCGCCGGGCTCAGGGGAGGCCCTTGGCTCTCGAGCCGCTCCCCGGATGTGCGCCGGGGAGCCCTGTGTGTTCGTGGCTGCGGCCCGCCGTGGCCGGGAACAAGAGGACCCTCGCCTCTTGTTCGGCGTTCCGCGTCGCGCGGTGCAGACGGACCGAGGAACAAGATCGAGGTCTGCTCGGGGAGGGTGCCCTTCGCCCTCCTCCTGCTCCTCCTCCTCCTCCTGCTCCTCATCCTCCTTCCTTCGCTCTACTCCTCTTCCTCCATCCTTCTCCCTGCTCCTCTTCCTCCAGCCTTCTCCCTACTCCTCTTCCTCTCTCTTCTCCCCCCTCCTCCTCATCCCGCCCTGCGCGTCCTTCCCATCATGCAGGCAGGTCGGACTGCTCCTGCTCTTCCCACTCGTGCCCCGCCCGCTCGCGGGCCAGCCTGCTGCTCTGACCCGGGCCTCTGCTGCGCCCCGTCGGTGCCCCCCCCCCCCCGCCGCCTCGACCTCTCCGAGAAGAGCGCTCCGAAGAGAGCGCCTCCTGAGCACGGTCGGAACGAGGCTCAAGTCGGGCCTGTCCCTCTACAGGGGGAATGTTCAAAAATAGTCAAACAGTAATCCGGGGACTATGTTTTGGTGTTTTTCGGCCTCTTTCGAGCATCTTGTGGGTATCTTTTATTGTTCGCCCAAAATCCCCGACCTAAAACGAGGCAGCGGACCGAGGCCCGGGTCGGGGAGGGCGCCCCCGAGTCTCGGGAGCCTCGAGACGGGGGGTTGGCCAGAGCGCCTGATCTCGCAGGATCCTGCAGGGGCAGGGGTGCATGGACCCTGGTCTGGGTGCGGAGGGAGGAGGAGAAGGAGGAGGAGGAGGTGGAGGAGGAGGAGGAGGATCCTGCAAGATTTTACTGGATACCTCGCATTGACCCAGGTTTGGGTGCA